TATGTATTCCAAAAGTGACAGAGACAGCAGGAGTGTGGGAGAGGCAGAGAGAGAGGGAGAGAAAGAGAAGCCCAAGCAGGCTTCACACTGTCAGCATGGAACCTGACTGGGCTCCAGCTCATGAAACTGTGAGATCATGCACGGTTCGTGGGTTCGAGCCCCGCGTTGGGCTCTGTGCTGACTGCCAGCTCAGAGCCTGGAGCCTGTTTCGGAGTCTGTGTCTCCCTCTCTCTCTGACCCTCTCCTGCTCACGCTGTCTCTCTCTCTCTCTCCCTCTCTCCCCTAGAAATAAATAAAAATATTAAAAAAAAAAAAAAAAAGAAAGAAAGAAACTGTGAGATCATGACCTGAGCCAAAACCAAGAGTTAGACACTCAACCAACTGAGTCACCCAGGTGCCCCTAATGTTTTTCAACTTTAAATTAAAAAATAAAAATAAAGGTTTGTCCTTTTTCCTGAAGCTAATGTGTATTTAACATAATACAAAAAACAAGAACAGAAAAAAAGTCTAAATTAGATATTCACAGGTATCCTCATACAAAATTACAAGAGAGCAGGAAAGTAAGTTAACAGGCCCATCCTGACTCCATTCTGAAGACCTCAAAAGCTTCCTCCCTCTGAACTATCTATTGCTAAACCACAGCATTTTCCTATTAAGCACAAATAAAGAAAACGACTCTCCCTTTTATGACTTTTTCACTGAGAATATGGGGTTGGTTACTCCGATATCACACTGAGGATTGGTGAAAATATTCCAAGTGCATCTAATTACAAAAGACTTTCCTGAAATTACTATATTTGTATTTAACGTTATTAGGGAAAAAAAGAAATATAAAATGCTACAGATAAAAAGAACTGGAATTACTCAGAAGAGGGGAAAAGCATTTTGAACAAATGTTAATACTGTCTGAATAAAATGGGAGCAAAATTATCTTCATAACCTTCTTTTTCACATTTTGTGAGCTTGAAGAAAACCAAGTCTTCAATATGAAAAACAACTCTGTGAATAAAAATGGGATCTCTCACACTGTAGAACATGGCTTTATCTACACAGAACTTTCCATGATGGTGGAAATGTTCTAGATCTGTGCTGCCCCAATAAACTGGTCAATCACAACATGTGGCTATTTACATTTAAATTAACAGAAATGTGATGGGCATTGAGGAGGGCACTTGTGGGGATGAGCACTGGGTGTTGTATGGAAACCAATTTTACAATGAATTATATATTTTTTTTTAATTTTTTTTTTAATGTTTTATTCATTTCTAGGAGAGAGAGAGACAGTGTGAGCAGGGGAGGGTCAGAGAGAGAGGGAGAGACAGACTGAAACAGGCTCCAGGCTCTGAGCAGGCAGTCAGCACAGAGCCAGACAAAGGGCACGAACCCACAAACCAAGAGATCATGACCAAAGCGAAAGTCGGACGCAAAACCGACTAAGCCACCCAGGCGCCCCATGAATTATATTTTTAAAAATAATTAATTGATTAACCAAAATTCAATAAAATTAATAATTCAGCTCTTTAGTCAGAGTAGCCACATTTTAAATGCTTAATAGCAACATGGGGCCAGTGGCCACCATATTGGACAGTACAGTTCTAGAACCTAGGAAAGATGGCTAGGTATGCAGTGAAACTATGTATTCAAAGCTTGTCAAATGAGGGTGGAAAAGGAAAATGTTTCCCAAAAATTGTCCATGGTATGAGAAAGTAAGTCCACTTTGTATCATCTGGGGGATTTTTTCCCCTCTTTCCATCACATTTCAGCCAATAATTAAAACAACTTAGCAGTACTTTTCATCCCAAAGCCTTAGGCAAATTCTCAAGTCTTCCTCTGAAGAATTCTCTCAATATGGCTTTACACAGCCTGTCTACAGAAAACACACTTCCCAAATACCGAACGTACGTTTTTCATGTGAATTTACTTTTCTGGTTCTTTGAGTATAATTATAATGGAAATTCCTACATAAAGCCTATCACTATCTTAGCAACCACACTTTCCAAGTCTATTCCCACAAAGCAGATTTCTCTATTTAGTTTTGTCTATTTCTGCAACCCAGACAACACAAAAAGATTTTCAAACTGTCAAGAAAGATGAAAGTAGACAAAGTCCCTGATTGTACAGGTAAGCCTCTGGAATGCCTTTCCTTCTCTGTGAGAGCTGGCATAAAGCAGGAATTCAAATGACCCCAGGTTAATATTTGAAGGCGGGTTGGCCAAATTTCTGCCTAGGTTTCAGTCAATGGGTATCATACTACACATATAGATGATAGAGTTTATTCATAAATTAATCCATGCAAAATATATCGGCACAGAGTGTAGTTTGAGGGGCTTTTGTGTGAAAGAACAGATATCCTTAAGCAGTTTCAGTTTCATATTCAAGGACTTCACTCAACAGCTTAGCATAGAATTAAGGTGAGGCTAGAAGCTATCCAAAGCACCCTTCCATCTCTACCTGCCCCAGAAGAAGTTTACCAGGATGAATTCCTGGAAATTATTTGGTGTATTCCTCTGGGATTTGCTCCAGTCTGGATAGGTGGGAAGTAACCTAGCAGGTCAATTCCCTCAAAGGAATCTCTTGAAGAAGCAAAACAGTCTGAGGTCTCTTAGAGCTCAGGTCTGCCTGAAAGTAGCCTTGAGAAGCTCATGTTTGCTGATATTCACACTTGTCACCATTATCTACATCTAAGCCATCTTTCACTAGAGACCAGACATTAGCAAATGGCCTCAAGTGGACTGTATGTGGAATTAGCACCCATGGGACCTGATTAATGATTATTGATATTGATTATATATATATTAATAAATGTATTGACTTCTTAAAGAGATATATTTTAATGGTTTATTTATTTTTGAGACAGAGAGAGACAGAGCACGAGCCGGGGAGGGGCAGAGAGAGAGGGAGACACAGAATCACATCAGGCTCCAGGCTCTGAGCTGTCAGCACAGAGCCCAATGCGGGGCTTGAACCCACGAACCGTGAGATCGTGACCTGAGCCAAACTTGGATGCTTAACCAACTGAGTCACCCAGGTGCCCCATAAATATATCGACTTCTTGAGGATTCATTGCATATGTTTAATGCATATCGTTACAGCCAGGACACTGTCATAAATACATAAATGTATATGTACATGATCTCTAATACAATTACTAATATAATTTACTCCCTAAGCTGGTTGTTTGGTTAATAGGCACATGCTCTACTCCCAAGATACCTAAAGAGCATTTTCTCCATTACCTTCATACTTACTGGGACAGTTCTGAGCACAATTCCAACCCCAAACTCTTGATCTCAATCCAGATGGATCCCATGGGAAGAAATAAGATTTAAAAAATGAGGGGTGTCTGGGTGGCTCATTTGGTTAAGCGTTCAAATTTGCTTCAGGTCATGATCTCATGGTTCATGGGTTCAAGCCCCATGTCGGGTTTTGTGCGGACAACTCAGAGCCTGGAGGCTGCTTTGGATTCTGCACCTGTCTCTCTCTCTCTCTCTCTCTCTCTCTCTCTCTCAAAAATAAATAAACAGTTTAAAAATTTTTAAATAAAAATAATGTAAAAAAATTAAAAATGAGATATGCCCAGGTCAACATCATGATTAGCCTGATCTACAGTATCAAGCTCAACAGTCAGTCCCCTACTGCACCCAATCCAACATTTTACCTCCAAAACAGATAACATAGGACCATAATCGAAGCATGTGTGGAACACAGCAGCATTTAGGGAGAACAAAAGATGGAAGGCAAAGTGTATAGACGGGTTCAAAGACTCCATACAGAATCTTCCTCAGAGGGACAGCAGGCCCAGGTTTAAAGCAGATGTTGGCAAACACTGGCCCAGAGCCAAATCTGCCTGCCTGCTTTTGTAAATAAAGTTTTATTGGAACACGGCTATGCCCATTGGTATATGTATTGTCTGTGACTGCTTCAGGTGAACAGCAGCAGAGCTGTGATAAAACCCATGCCGCCCAAAAAGCTGCAAATATTTACTATCTGGACCTATAGCGAAAACATTTGCTGGCCCCTGGTTTAGAGTTTTAGATTTTACTGACAATGGTCCTTACTGGAGTTCCCTGAAGCAACTACTCTGAAAATGAATGGGGGGCAGACCGCATGGTATCCATACCTCTACCCATTACAGAGTAGCACGTGACCCACAATCTGAAAGGCAGCTCTCAGTCTTATCGCCATTTCTGCGAGTTCTAAGAATAACTATTACTTTAACATGTGGTAAACTTATCTTTAGGAACTTGAAAGAAGACTGGGAACATCTCTGAAGCTTAATTTCCAAATATGTTTAAATCCAAGTTGGGGTTCTCCAAGTAGGTAGCTAGAATAAGAATGTATTTGCCTAGGGGCCTTTCAAGGGGATGTTGCTGATTGGTACTTTGTAGCCCAGGCCATGGGAGTGAGCTTGAAAAACAGGCATAATTGCTTTTCCAAGTTTGCACCATAAATAATCATTTTTTAAAAGGTTCCAGTAACTTACCCACTAGAAAAAAAGAAAAAAGACAAAAAAAAGGAAAGCAGGACAATGATGCAGTGGTTTTGCTCTAAAATCATCATGTTCAATGCCATGCTGCCATCTGCAGTATTTTGGTATTTTCACCCAAGAACAGGGTTTTTAATGAGCGCTACCACTTGTGTCTGTGATAATGAGGGAGAGGAGCTAAGCCAGTGTAACAGGAAGAGGACACTGCAGACCAAAATTTTACCTTTGGTCATGGGGTTCCTTCCCGCACACATACCACCGTTGTTGTTAAGTCCGTCCTGATTCCTGAACATGTGTGTGAACTATAGCGATGTTACAGAGGAGAATGGATTAGTGTGCCATGTGCCATACTGTCAGAAGGGCCACAAAACTGTTCAGAAATGCTGTAGTTCAGTGTCTGCTCACACTCACGCAAATGCGGTCGCAAAGCCTGAGTGCGCTGTGACCGTCAGTCCCAAGCAGCCAACTTTTTGAGAAAAGCTCTGGTAAATCTGGGGATTAAAGAATCAAAGGCGAGCACCAGTTCAGCAGCACACATACTAAAACTGGAATGACACAGAGAAGTTTAGCATGGTCCCTTTGCCAGGAGGAAGCGCAAATTCCTGAAGTGTTCCATATTTAAGAAAAAAAAAAAGAATCTAAGGGGATGTGTTGGTTTCCTGGGGCTGCTGTAACAAAAGACCACAGACTGGGGGCTTCAAGAGCAGAGAATTATTATCCCACAGCTCTAGAGGCTCAGAAATCTAAGATCAAGGTATACACAGTGTCGACTGCTTTAGAAGGCTCTCTCTTGGCTTCTCTCTCTGTGTCCACAGGGTCTTTCCACTCTGTCTGTCTGGGCCCTAATTTCTTCTTTTAAGGACACCAGTCATTAAATTGGGGCCCACCCCAATCACCTTTTTCAACTTCAACTACTTCTTTAACAACCCTGTCTCTAAATGCAGTTCATTCTGAGAACGGGGGGGGGGGGGGGGGGGGGGGGGGGGGGGGGGGGGGGGGGGGTGGGAGAGCTGGGGGGTTAGGACTACAACAGAGGAAGGGACAGGGAGAGCAAAATTCAGCCCATAATGGAAATAAAGTATGTGCTTCTTATGTTTGGAACCAAAATGAATGGAATACAGTAAGTAAGAAGGCATTAGCATACCAAGAAAGAAAAAACGGTGGTTGGAAGGAAGGAAGGAACGAAGGAAGGAATGAAGGAAGGAAGGAATGAAGTCAGGGAAGAGAAGAAGGAAAGGGAAAGAAAAGCTTCATGAATGACTGGAATCTAATTGGCCCAAACAAGAGATCTCGCTTAATTAAGGAATTCACCCCATCTATGCCTACAAGGAGCCCATCAATTCACCAACATCAGAATCTATGTTGAAGGCTGGATGATCCCAGCTCTTAAGGCCACTCATCTTTGCCGGCTACGCTCTGTATCATCCAATAGTGGCTTGAAACTGCACTGTCACTGCAGCACCCAAATGTTCTATTGGTCTGAAGCTATCAAAGAAACTAGACACGAGGCTGATCCCACCAAAAACTGCCCCCAGAGGGGCCCTTTAAATTTGCCTTCGAGATTTAATCCAAACGGAACAAAATAGGGAGGAAAATGGATCTGCAATTCTCAAAAGGTGTTAATGGTTCATCGCTGAGCTCTTGGTCTGCAGTGTCTGCTGAAGGGTGGAACACGGGCTTTTTGTGCCCTGGGAGTCACAGCAGACAGCGCCCCCTATGATGCCTGCAGTAAGGCACCGGCCTGATACCTCGCTGGCTGCTCCCATAAAGGATGGCTGCACGGATCCCCTAACCTATTACTTCTTCAGAAATGGGACCACAGCACGCATTTATTTTGATCCCTGCGACGTGTGCAGCTTGGGCCGGGTATTTTACATACAATCCCTTATCTGATAATCGCCTTTCCAATCTCTTCAACCACACAGGTGCATTTTACAGAGAGCTCTTTTAAAATGTTGACTTATTTATTTTTGACAGAGAGAGAAAGAGAGAGAACACAAGCAGGGGAGGGGCAGAGACAGAGGGAGACACAGAATCTAAAGCAGTGATCCAGGCTCTGAGCTGTCAGCGCAGACCCCAACGTGGGGCTCCAACTGTGAGATCATGACCTGAGCTGAAGTCCGATGCTTAACCGACTGAGCCACCCAGGCGTCCCTACAGAGAGGTATTTTATACATAAATGGTTTTAAAATATGTAAACAATATAAGCCATATTTTGTAACCATTTTGTTTTATACTTTTAGAGAAAAACCATGGGCTGCAAATCAAAGAGTAAATTACGAACTGAAGAATTTTATACTGTTTTCATCTTGCAGTTTTGCAGCAGTTGATATATTCTCATGGTGGGCACATTATACCTAAATTCACGTGCTGTTTAGTTGGGGTTTTTTTCACTGATAATTTTGTACTTTACAAAATACAAAGTCAAGACAATACAACTTTTAGATTGTCTTCTTCCTGAAACAAAAACTGAAATATACCTAAAGCAGCAACTACTAACCAAAAAATATATATTTTTCATTTACAGAAAAAGTGTAAATAACTGCTCCATATAAGCATAATTCCAATTACTGCTGCAAATGGGAAATACTTGTGGTTGTAGCAGCTCCACTTAGCTTACAAGATGGAACCGGTCAGTGGAAGTATTTCACGGTGCAATAGTGTCATCTGGTGGTGTATATGAGGATTTCATATTTAGTTTCAGAGAGTGACTATCTGAACCCTTGACAATATTCCTGACCTCCTTTTATCCATTTTATTACTCCCCTGATATCTATTAGATACAAAGAATCTAATCTGTACACACAGACATTGTAGACTCTATATAGTATTTAAAGTTTATGAGATGGTTCCAGGAGTCAAACCTTAAACCTGGACAAGAGGGCACTCTGCTCTGGCCTCCAGCATTTAGGGGGTTCCCCTAACGTCCCCTGGCTGTGCCTCTCCTGCAAATCAGAGTCCTGGGGCCAAAGGACGTGCCCGCCCAAACCCAGCCCTTCTCTTCCTGCTATAAACCCTCTATCTCATTCTCACCATCAATTTCACTTCCTTGCATCCTGTTAATGCACTAATGCTCTCATTTTACCTGAGGTTTTAATGACAACAGCGGGCTTCCACTTCCCAGATATGATTTGCATTAGAGAAGCTTCCCGAAATAACGTGACACATCCCTTCCCAGCAATAATTACAATCAAGGGGAATTTAAGATACAAAAACAGGACGTGGGATAACTCCTCTCCCCTTCAAGTCATCGTGTCCACAAAATCCTCCACATTTTCCAAATCTTAGACCTCTGCTGCCACCTTCAGGACACTTGTCATAACAGCATGTTCTGGGCCGCTGTTTACTTCGTGCAAACTGTTACATAAAGTTTTAGTTTCGCAAGATGAGTAAGTTCTAGCCATCTGCTTTATAAATAACATCCTGCCTATAGTTAACAGTGTATTACACACTTAAAACTTAAAAGGTCAAATTTCATATTGGTGTTCTCAACAATAAATAAATAAAAGCTATTTGAGAGAGGAAGAAGAGGGGAGAGGAAGAGAAAGAGAGAGAAGGGAGGGAAGTAGGAAGGAAGGAAAGAAGGAAGCAAGCAAGTGAGCAAGTCTGGCTACCAGAGGAGGAGCCTGGTTGAATCTTGTAATAGAATCCACCAAGAAAGGAGTGACTGGCATTTAGTACATGGCACTTTACAAATCTTATAACACATTTTATTTGCTGTTCTATCAAATAATACAATAAAAGTAGCTAACGCTATATATATAATGTAGCTATGATAAATAATCAAAGCATGAAAATGTCATGTTTTATTACATATGACAAAACCGTGGATATAAATCATGCACACACATCCAATAGTAAGAAGAGCTGACACTTTCATAGCTCCCTATGTGGCAGGCAGGGCTCTGTGTACTTTATCACTGATACCGTGTTTACACATTTCTTGTCTCAACAACCCCATGCTACCATTATCAGCCCCATTTTACAGACAAGGAAACTGAGGCTCCACGAAATTAACTTGTCGAAAGTTCTACAGCAAGTGATAGCTGGGCTAGGATTTAAGCCCTGTGTATCTGCCTTCAAGGTCAGCGTTCCTCACCACTGGATGAACCTCTGTCCTTTCAGGAAGCTGGATGATGACAAGAAAGCATGAGGCTGTGAAATAAGAAAAATCAGATGTAGGGTCGCCTGGCATTCCTTCACAAGTATGTCTGGGCGCTGCGAATGCAGAGGGGAAGAAGACAGGCAAGGGCCTTGCTCACTACTACGCAAGCTAGTAGGGAGAACTTCTCCTGGTCAGAAGAGAACAATGGAAAAGAGCTGTTTGTATTTTAAGGAGACAGATATGCATGCTTTGCGTCGCTTATAAAATATGTAAGATATTGAGAATCAAAATAAGGTAGTAAGAGAGGAAGTAACCAAGAAGGTGTTTTATGTTGGGTGGTCTGAAAAGAGGTGATAGATACTAAATGATACTAAATTTTCTGTAAAGAAGTTGTTTTAAACTATCGATATGAAGCTCTATAGAGATAGAGAAAATTTCAAAAATCCGTAAGAGCTGGTGCAGAATCCCCGAGGGAAGGAAGAATGCCAACAAGCTTCAAGAGCACAAAGTGGGCCTGTTGAGGGAGTGAGAAAGAGCAGGGACAGGGAGCAGAGCAGAGGTCTGAGAGCCCTGAAGGGCTGCACCGTGGAAGGCTTACTAAGCCAGGCCCATGGGTGGGGATTTTACAGTAGGTAGGAAGAGAAGCCCTTGGAAGGCTTTACACCTGTTAGAAAGATCCCTTGGGCTCCTCTATGGAGAAAGGGTCTGAAGGAGCAGAGAATGGAAGCAGATATCTCAGATGGAAATCACTTGCAGTAAAGCATCAAGTTGCTCAGATCCCTTTCAGTAGAAGTAAGGGGATGGACAGGTCTGTAGGGATCCGTATACTGTGTATGTGTGTTGTGAGCACAGCTTCTACAGGTCACGTGCTTTCAATGTGGACAGGGAGTGGAGAAAGACACATTGAAAATAATGCTCAGCTACGGGGGGTTGCTGTGGCCTGAAGAGAAAAAAGTTTAAGCGTGCAAGGAACAAATCTGGAGTTGTACTTCATGACCTAAATCAGGAAACCCATTCCGTCTTTCTTTTTTTTTTTAAGTTTTTTTTTTTTAATGTTTAATTTCTGAGAGAGAGTGAGAGAGAGAGACCCAGAATCAGAAACAGGCTCCAGGCTCTGAGCTGGCTGTCAACACAGAGCCCGACGCAAGGCTCCAGCCCACGAACCGTGAGATCATGACCTGAGCCAAAGTCGGACGCTTAACCAAATGAGCCACCCAGGCGCCCCCAATTCCGTCTTTCTGACTGTAGTCAAGCTATTACACCTCACTGAGCCCCACTGGCCTCATCTATAAAAATGGTGGAGCAGATCCTTTCTGGGTAACTTCTCTATGTGGGATTTACTGCGGTTTGCAAAGAATGGCTTTAAAACCTTCCAAACCTATGGAAATACACATTAACCTACCCTGGGTCGTCCTGTGTGGCAAAATGAATGAATGAATGAATGACCAACCAACCCACAGTGGGATTCAATCCTCAGAATTAGTGTCCAGAAACAAAGGTGAAGTTACATTCTAGAG